ATGAATTGTGCCTTTGAGATTGACACCGGTGATCGACCTCATCCATGCTCTTCCTCCATTATCACCCACCTTTTATGGATCTATGCTCGTCCACCATAGCTCGTCCAGACTTGGGTTATTTCGTTGTTTCCTCGACAAGAATCCAGAGATACATCGTTATCCACATTATATTCAAGTTATTCGTTTGCAATACTCCACGCAAGAAAAACAAGAGACCAAATATGAATATCGCTATCTCCTCGACTTAAGACATGCTCGAGCGATGACATGTTTAAAGATAATGAATAATCAATTCGACACAATTCCACATTTCCACACGAAAATCCAAATAAATGGTCCAAGTATATCAAAATATCCAATTATATAAATATAATCCAAGTCTTCAAGCAAGTCAAATAATTTCACAATCCAATCAAATAATCCTCCGCAAATAAATCCAATGATTTCATTCGAATAAATCGAACATCGCCACGAATAAAACCCATAATTCCACGAACAAATCAAATAATAGCTCGACCAAAGCAAATAATTATCCTCGAATGAATCAAATATTTTTGCAAATAAACCAAATACATCACGAGCAAATTAAACAATCCCTGATGCAAAAATCCAATATTCTCCTCGAATAAACCATATAATCCACGAATAATTTAAATATCTCCACGAGTCAATTATGTGATTCCACGAACAAATCAAATATATCCGCGAATATATCCAATAAATCTCCGAACAATCCACAGATAAACATATAGTCTAACTCGAGCAAACCAAATAATTTCTTGAATAAATTACATAATTATCCATGAATTAATTCAATCAAGTTCCATGTATAAGTCAAGTAGTGCTCCTCAAATAGATCCAATAACTTCCACAAATATGTCGAAATATTCCATGAATAAATTCAATAATGTTCATAATTTTCGCCAATTTGAATCTTCAAGACTCCAAGTTTTTCGATTTAAATCAAATAATCCACTTTTTTCAATTTAAAACCTCCAGTCCATAAATTAAATGAGCGTCGTACCTTCATCTCGATAATATTCCCAAAATTTACCTTCTGTTTCGCTTTTAATCATCCCAAATTGGTCATGGGTACAAAATGGAGATGTTTTAGTTCACTGGCTACATTTGGATACCATTTGGGCCACTTATAAGGTATTAGCCGCATAAAGCTCGCTTTTGGGACAATGTAACGGGCTATCGGAGTAGTGGGCCATGCCATGGAGGTTTGGACCGCTCGTGGGCTGAAGAATTGGTTGGACGCAGGTCGGATGTTGCAGAAGACGCGGGTTGGGCGTTGCTTGTGACGGGCCAGATTTCCTCTCGAGCAGATTTGATTTTCTCTCGATCGGATCAAACTTCCCTTCTTCCTCTCGAGCAGATCTCCTTTCTCCCTCGAGCAGGTATGCATCCCAGTTGAGAAAAATTCCTCAGTCTAGCAGATTTCCTCTTTCGAGCAAAATTCTTCATTCGAGCACAATTCCTTATTCGAGCAAAATTCCTCCTCGAACAGCCTTCGAGCAGATGCAAAACGTGATGTTGGAAGGGCGACAGACTTCGAACCTTGTCTTGGTCGATCGAAATTTCTCGCTCGAGCAGCACACCTTGGTCAATCGGACGTCGGGTAGACAACACCTCCTGGTCGAGATAGCGACGAGCTTGAGTCGCCCAGAAAAACTGATGTCGGTGAGAATGGCTAGCCACCGATGCACCTCAACAGAGCGCCTGCGAGCCACGTCTCCTTGAGTTTTGAACATTTGAATTCTCGAACCCGAACGAGCTGTCGGGCTTCGATTTCTGAGCGGACCTGCAAATTTGGTCGAACACGCGACGGACCCAAAATCTCTAGCCTGCAATTTGCGAGTTCGGACCTCTCAATCTCAAGCTTGTGACCTGAGAACCCAGGACCCGAGAACCTTGTGCTTGTGAAACTCGAACTTGCAACCTGGTCAAGCCGTGCGAGGCGGCCGTCGAGCAGCAAATTTTGAACTGAAAAAAGAAACAGGGGCGCGCAACCGAAGCTCGCCGGGCCCAGCAACACAGACCATCCGTCGACGCGCACCGATGAGGGAAATCCGCTGGTGCCCTCGGTTTTAACTGATTGGCCGAGAAGTCGCCGGAAAATCAAGGGAGACGACTGGATTTTGACTAATTGTTCCAAGATCCAAAAAGTTTGCCGGCGAATTAATAACCTTACTGGATGAATTTTTGCTTGAAATTTTAAGGGTAGAACAAGCTCGACGAGAGCTTCACGATGGTGTAAGCCTTTTTCAGATCGGAAAACATTTGGCGGCGGTCGACGGCGGAGGCGGCGGCCGACGGCGGCGGAAGTGGAGGTTTCCGGCGAAGGTTGGTAGCTGGAGATTTGTCTCGTCGAGAGGATTCAAGTGGTACCCTCGGATTTTTCATAGCCTTCACGGATCGTCGGGAAAATGCATTTGAATGCTCGATTTTGACCAAAATTTTGTTAGATCTGGAAACTTTGACCGCAAAATTCATGGCCTTCCCGGAGGAATTTTTGCACGAAATTTTGAGTGTAGGTTCACCTCGAAGAGATCTATCCGATGGTGCCAACCATTTTTTGATCGGAGCACGTTTTCCGGTGGCCGACGGTGGAGGTGGCGGCCGGCGGTGGCGGCGGCCGGTGGAGAAGAAGGAGGTTTTCAAATTTTTCAGTCGGGACTCCGCTTGACTTTATTACGGGTCCCACAGACAGCGCCAATGAAGTGAATAAGATTCACCCGGGCTCCTTCAACTCGAACCGGCCTCCGTACCTGCAGAACCCAACGCCGGGGGTGGCCCCGGCGTCGGGCCTCCGATGCCTAAGTCAGTGTCCAGATCAAGAGAGAGAAAGTGTAGTAATGTAATGAGGAGAGAATGAGAATAAGGAATACCTTAACCCCCCTTTTATAGGGGATATGTACCTTTTGGGCCCAAGTTGGGCTTGGCCCATATCGCGGTGCTATATGTCTTTAGTCCGGACGTGGGCTTATCTTCCAAAATGTATTCGCTTTATCCACTAAACCGAGTCCAGTATAATATCCTATATCAATATTATTACATGTTTTTAAAGATGACGATCTGTTAATTCGCCATATGTATGTACGAGTTATGTATTTAATTGTTAAATACATGTTTTAAAAATTTTAAATTCCGCTGCGTATAGCTCGTACGGTACATGCGAACCCAACAGTGGTATGAGAGCCACGGTTATCATCTTTAAAAACAGATTTTGAATTGTTAATGTTTATATTATAAACAAGATAATTATAATGTTTATGTGATAAACAAGATAATTATAATATTTATGTGATAAACATATTAATTATTAAAATAAAAAAAAAAATATTTTTTTAAGAAGCCCGAGAGCTGACACGACCTATGACACGGGCGTGTTAGAGGCCGTGTCAGGTGACACGACCCCTGACACGGGCCGTGTCAGGTAGAGTGACTAAAATGCTGTTCAAAGTTGCTCTCGGCATTTTGACACGATCTCTGACACGGGCGTGTCAGAGGCCGTGTCAGATGACACGACCTCTGACACGGGCTGTGTCAGGTGGAATGAGCCTTTTATGTTTTAATTCATGTGATGAATGGTTTAACTTAGGGATGATCATGAGCCTTTTATTCAACATGATTGAATGTTGCATTTTTCAATATGATTGAATGTTTGAATGTTTTATTTAATATGGATGAATGATTGCATTTTATTCAATGTGACTGAACGGAAGTAATTTATCGAGACCTGCGAGTCTCTTGAATTATGATTTGTACAATTTTAAGTTTTTGTATCGTTAAAAGATAAGATCAAGGTGGAGACCGTTCGATGCAAAGGCCCACGTCTGTGTGGGTAATTTTACATGTTGTAAATCTCGAAGGCCTGTGCTTGTACGGGTAGATAAAATAAATTGTAATAAAAGTAGTTCTATTTATTTTATCACATACATAGGCATAGACCCATTTTGGCTCGAATGGGTCGTATAGGCAAGGACATGATCATCCCACCGTATGCATGCATTAGATGTATGTTAAGTTTATTTATGCTTTTGATTCATGCGATGGATGAAATGGTAAATAAACGTAAAGATGGTAAACGATGGATAAAGATGGTAAACGTAAACATGATCACGAAACCCTAAAGAATTAATAAGATTAATTCATATCATATCAATAATGGAAAAAAATAAGCTGGAACTTATTAATCTAGGCCTTCCATAAAAAAGTAGACGACATGAGATGCTACGATGCTCTATCACTGACCATGAATCGTGGGGTGGTTTTGTGTCGAAGGTTGTGATCCCTAGTATGTATATTGATACTTGTGAGACGGATTCCTCTTTGTGTTGGCCATGAGTCGTGGGACACTCTGGTGGGCCGTTATCATGAAAGTTTTGATGGGTTTGATTTGACACCGAGTAATATATACGGTCATATTCTTGAGGTATATAAGGAAAGGTG